GTGTGTGTGTGTGTGTGTGTGTGTGTGTGTGTGTGTGTGTGTGTGTGTGTGTGTGTGTGTGTGTGTGTGTGTGTGTGTGCATATTAGGAGCAGTGTCAGATGTCGGACTAGTTTCTGAGAGCACAGTTCGTGATATCATTTGGCAGTCGCCTGATAAAAGTTGTAGTTTAGACCCCATTCCAGCCTCTATCACAAAGCAACACATTGCTGAATTGGCTTCTGTGATAACTGCTATGGTCAATATATATCTCTCTCTACTGGCTTTGTTTCACAAAGATTCAGGGAGGCAATTGTTATACCCCATCTGGAGAAGACTGGACTTGACTCAAACAATATGAAGAATTTTCGTCCCGTGTCGAATCTGCCTTTTGTGTCCAAGGTACTAGAAAAAGCTGTTCTGAGACAACTGTTGGCGCATCTCAGTACAGCAGGGCTTCAGGAAATACATCAATCCGCTTAGGCAGAATCATAGCACCGAAACTGCTCTACTTAGTGTTGTCAACAACCTACTACTATAGTCTGATGAAAGGCAAGTCTCTTTGATGGCTCTATTGGATCTGAGCTCGGCTTTCGATACGCTGGACCATTCAATTCTATTAAAACGGATGGCAATAACATATGGCATTCGAAGTACAGTTATAGCATGGTTTAAATCTTATGTCAGTCGACGTACACAGAGAGTTGAAACTGATTCCATGCAGTCCAACCCCAGTTCCCTCACGTATGGAGCTCCAAAGGGCTCTGTCCTGGAACCAGTGTAGTTTACACTATATGTACAGCCACTCTCAGATGTCATCTCTTACCATGACTGTGAACTCGAGAAATATGCAGACGACACCGAAAAGTCAAAAAGTGCTCTTCCTCAGGATTTCGGTGCTGTCAAACATGACATCCAATCATGCTTTGACGATGTTTTGGAATGGATGCTCAGTAATAAACTGAAAGTGAACACTGACAAAATAGAACTTATGCCAGTTGGTGCACCTAACCGTCTAAACCTCATCAAGGATGAGTCAGCTGTTATAGGAGAGAGTGATATTCCCTTCCAACCTTGTGTGAAGTATCTGGGGGTGCACTTAGATAAATCACTAACTCTCTTTAGTTTCTTGCTCGTGTTGCACCGACTTGCTTCTATAAGACCGTATCTCACTGAAGACGCAGCAGCCAGTCTTGTAAGTTGCTTTATTACTTCAAGGCTGGACTACTGCAATTCAGTTTTCTTTGGACTCCCTCTTGACGAGATTGCTCGTCTTGTGATGAAGAGACGGAAGTACACTCATGTGACTGCCATGCTGCAGCATCTACATTGTCTGCCTATCACGCTCCGGTGCAAATACAAGATTGCAACACTTGTGTTTCGCCATTTGCATGGTTCACTACCGCCATACCTGTCCAGAGAGCTCTCTACTTACAAGGCTCCACGAACTCTCCGCTCTTCCAGTGAGAAACTGTTAAAAATCCCAAAGTATAAGTCAGCAGTCAAATACAGTGCGCCCTCAGTTTAGAATGCACTCCCAAATGAACTCCGCAATTCCCCTTCTGTTAGTTCATTCAAAATCGATTTTAAGAAATAATCATTTAAACAAGCTTTCCTTGATTGTGTACTTTTCCGTCCCTTTTTTGTGAGAGAAATGCGCAAAGAGTGCTTTCGGAGATTAGCGCTATATAATTGCTATCCATTATTGTTTTTTACAGATTAAAGCTGAAAATGCAGCAGAGAGGGTTCGAGTGATCCTGTCACAGTCAGGCTGGTAAGGCTCATCATCAGCTCAGGGCCCTTGCCCTTTCTACACGCAGCCCAGACAGCGAAAGGGACTTCTCCCAGTAAACACTGCCTAGTCGAACCCACCAAGAACGTTCCGGAGAATATGAAGGCTCCCCCACATTGCAGCCTTCTGCATTACCCTGAGTGTCAGAATGGTTGTGCTCCTGGTGGAGAACCAGGGCACTCTCCTGATCTGCGCCAAGAGATCAGGAGGTACCAAACCAAGGGCACAGAGAACAATGAGGAGCCTGACGACAGTGTACTTGGGATGCAAGCGAGACATTTCCATATCTGTTATGCTTTTCCTGAATCTTGCCAACGACATTGCTGTCAAAAGGGACAGAAAATTCAATGATATAAATAAATTCATTGGCTATATCAAAAAGGACAAGATCAGGTTTGTTGGCAGGAATTCTTCTGAGGCTTTATATGGGCCTATTCCACAGAAGTTTAAAAGCGTCATTTTCCATGACGCCCTGGACATGTTCAGGGTCGTACCATGGATGGACCTCGGAGTCAAAACCACAGACATGGCGGAGACGGTAGTAAAAGCAGCGAGCCATGCCATCATGTCTTTTCAGATATGCTGTTTGTGTTGGACAGTCTCTGTGAATTCATTGCACAATCGACATTTCATATTGATATTATTATTATTATTGATGTCAGACTTACACCGTTATCAAGCAAGTGATGACGCTTGCTTGTTAGTACCTACACCGAAACGTCGCAGTCATTGCAATAAACAAGTTGACTATCCATAGAACTTGGTTTCCTTTCATCTATACAACTTCTAAAATGCCTCTCAACGAAATGTCAGACTTGTCATGTCACCTGCAGAAGTTGTATCTGTATGAATATACTGACAGTGACATATGTGTGTGTATATTAGGAGCAGTGTTGCTCAACCAACTACTCTTTTCAATCTACTGAAACGTAATCTTACATGAGCACACCTAACATCGATCGTCAGAGAGTATCAACCAGTAAAGTAAACACGCTTATCAATGTCTGATATGTGCAAAGACGGAAGTACTGTTATAAGTGTCGCCCAATCTCAGTCCCTGTCACAAGCAGATAGAGAAAGTCATGGGCCATACTTTAATCAACCGCTCTAAAAATAGGGTGTATATTTGCGAGATAGAACATTTTGGGCGTGTACATCTGCGTTCCAACAGAAGAGAGTCGTGAACGCATGTTATGATGCACTTATGTGTTGTCTACATATTAAACCAGCATATTACTCTGATTACTTATTTAATGTAAGGATATATTCAATAATAATGATTTAAATGGTCCTGGACATAGGAGTGTTTGAAGGAGAGTATGAATATAGCAAGAGGTTGTGTGAATATAGAAAAAATAAGACTCATTCAAATCCCTGTTTTATCACGATGCAGGTCCATCCTGAATCTGTACACTCTGTCACTCTGTGAGTCTAAGTGAGTATGTATGTATGTATGTATGTATGTATGTATGTATGTATGTATGTATGTATGTATGTATGTATGTATGTATGTATGTATGTATGTATGTATGTATGTATGTATGTATGTATGTATGTATGTATGTATGTATGTATGTATGTATGTATGTATGTATGTATGTATGTATGTATGTATGTATGTATGTATGATTATTGATCAATTTTTTTGTATTCACTATTATATGTATTGTCAAGAAAGACGTCTTAATTTCACAAATATATAAAACAATTTAGAAGAATGCCCGGTCTTAACCACTGTCAGAAATTGATTCCCTTTGGTTTAAAGGGCAAAATAGTTGTGAATATCATTCGAATGCACCAGTGAAAGTCAGTGATGACACCAGATGTTTGTGATAAGGGTAAGCACGTCCTTCTCACTGGTAGCACCTTCCATGTGACGACGGTCTTTAAACAAACCAGACAATCAGGTGATTGATAGACCGGAACATGAAATTGTTGATTTTGACACCATTACTTTGTCAGAGTGCAGTCCACACCGCAAAAGTTTCACATATTTATAGATACTTCTGTTTTACGTAAAACCATTGCCTACTGCCCACTGTCAGTTCAAAGATATTCAAGATGCTCCGTTATACATCTTTGAGTGTTGGTTCACTGTGTGTGGTTTTACATAATAGCGTAGAAATGTGTCGCCCTATATTTTGAAAAGCAAACAAACCTTTCTATAAGAGCACACAAAAGCAATAAAAGCGAGAGATTTAAATGAGTTTAATCTAAAGTAATATTCCAGGCATATCACGGTTAAGGACTCCTTGAATCGAACCTCTGTCTTGTCAATGCGACGAGCTAACACTGTTACCACTAGGCCACACAGGGGAGGTAAGTGAGTGTCACCACACCTGCATCACGATGTTCTATAGAGACTAGAACCTGGATCAGACAAACCAGTGACTGACAACCAAAGCATTTAGAATCGATTCTATTTCCTTGTTCCAGACGATGACCTCAAGGGCTGAAAATCTGAACCAAATCATTGAGGACATAATATAATCCACTTCCGACCTGGCAGTGGTAAAGCAAACATTGGGTATCGTGACTAACAGACTGGGTACATTTGCATCCCACATTAAGTCAATATTTGTCATGAATATGACCTGTGACGGCGTTCTATAATCCTCCATAGAAACAATAAAATGCTCTATGGGCGGGTGTTGACGGAGGTACACGATCCGTATATCCCCGAGTCACGCACACCCGGGCTATTATGATGGCGACTGAATATCAGTGTATTTTCAGCATGTTAAGATAATAAACTGGTTTCTGAAGGTGCAATAAATATCCTGGGAGTTAAAACGAGGATTCAAACCTCAAACCTGAGTAGCCCCGTTGTTAGGTAATAACAAGTGTCGTGACGCAGCAGATACGTGATTAGTAAATTCATGAATAGTTTTAACGAATTACAATAGTTTCAGAAAAGACATATTTTCATGATCTGAAAATCAAGTGTCATTCGTGTATCCATTTTACTTTTAAAATGATAAAGAATACGTACTTCTGCCTAATGTCTGTTACAGATCAACCAATCTCTGAAAGTATTTTACATACCTCAAACGGTAAGTCCAACCTAAAGCATTGGGACTACTCCTGCTTGTGTCAAAGTCCTACAGAAATGTACAGCACAGGTTTCTTCATTAATTTCACAATCAACTGTCGATGACGTGCTCTCGTGTCATATACTGCCATAAACAGCTTTATGGCATGTGAAATGAGTGTTTTAATGTTGTAACTTACAGGACTGTAGACCCGGTCATAAATCCTATTTGTAACAGGAAACCCGAGACCCAATACCGGGTATTGCAACTGCACGAAGGACCCCGCCCTGCCCAGGTGATTGATGGCCGTGCCCTACATTGGGTACTGATATCAACACGTTGAAGGGGTGTTTATAAAAACACAAGCCTTTGAGTGTGTACTTGTGACACGTTGTGTGATTACATGACAGAGGCTATGTTAATGTAATGTAACTGTACTCATTTATCAGGAAGTGAGGGAGTGACTGAGTTTTAAAGCCGATTTGAACAATATTCTAGTGATATCACGGCGTGTTAAGTTAGTGCTGGAGGAAAGCCCGAACTGATACAGGTCTTAGACCTTTACCACGGGTATGGAGGTGAAACCTGTGAACTCGTGTATGGAGGTGAAATCCATAAACTCGTGTATGGAGGTGAGATCCATAAACTCGTGTATAGAGGTGAGATCCATAAACTCGTGTATAGAGGTGAAACCCGTGAACTCGTGTATGGAGGTGAAATCCATGAACTCGTGTATGGAGGTGAAACCTGTGAACTCGTGTATGGAGGTGAAATCCATAAACTCGTGTATGGAGGTGAGATCCATAAACTCGTGTATAGAGGTGAGATCCATAAACTCGTGTATAGAGGTGAGATCCATAAACTCGTGTATAGAGGTGAGATCCATAAACTCGTGTATAGAGGTGAGATCCATAAACTCGTGTATAGAGGTGAGATCCATAAACTCGTGTATAGAGGTGAAACCTGTGAACTCGTGTATAGAGGTGAAATCCATAAACTCGTGTATAGAGGTGAGATCCATAAACTCGTGTATAGAGGTGAGATCCATACACTCGTGTATAGAGGTGAAACCTGTGAACTCGTGTATAGAGGTGAAATCCATAAACTCGTGTATAGAGGTGAGATCCATAAACTCGTGTATAGAGGTGAGATCCATAAACTCGTGTATAGAGGTGAGATCCATAAACTCGTGTATAGAGGTGAAATCCATAAACTCGTGTATAGAGGTGAGATCCATGAACTCGTGTATAGAGGTGAGATCCATAAACTCGTGTATAGAGGTGAGATCCATAAACTCGTGTATAGAGGTGAGATCCATAAACTCGTGTATAGAGGTGAGATCCATAAACTCGTGTATAGAGGTGAGATCCATAAACTCGTGTATAGAGGTGAGATCCATAAACTCGTGTATAGAGGTGAGATCCATAAACTCGTGTATAGAGGTGAGATCCATAAACTCGTGTATAGAGAGGTGAAACCTGTGAGAACTCGTGTATAGAGGTGAAATCCATAACCTCGTGTATAGAGGTGAGATCCATAAACTCGTGTATAGAGGTGAGATCCATAAACTCGTGTATAGAGGTGAGATCCATAAACTCGTGTATAGAGGTGAGATCCATAAACTCGTGTATAGAGGTGAGATCCATAAACTCGTGTATAGAGGTGAGATCCATAAACTCGTGTATAGAGGTGAAATCCATGAACACGTGTATAGAGGTGAAATCCATGAACTCGTGTATAGAGGTGAGATCCATAAACTCGTGTATAGAGGTGAAATCCATAAACTCGTGTATAGAGGTGAGATCCATAAACTCGTGTATAGAGGTGAGATCCATAAACTCGTGTATGGAGGTGAAATCCATGAACTCGTGTATAGAGGTGAAATCCATGAACTCGTATATAGAGGTGAGATCCATAAACTCGTGTATAGAGGTGAGATCCATAAACTCGTGTATAGAGGTGAGATCCATAAACTCGTGTATAGAGGTGAGATCCATAAACTCGTGTATAGAGGTGAGATCCATAAACTCGTGTATAGAGGTGAGATCCATAAACTCGTGTATAGAGGTGAGATCCATAAACTCGTCTATAGAGGTGAAATCCATAAACTCGTGTATAGAGGTGAGATCCATAAACTCGTGTATAGAGGTGAGATCCATAAACTCGTGTATAGAGGTGAAATCCATAAACTCGTGTATGAGGTGGAAACCTGTGAACTCTTATATAGAGGTGAGATCCATGAACTCGTGTATAGAGGTGAAATCCATAAACTCGTGTATAGAGGTGAGATCCATAAACTCGTGTATAGAGGTGAAATCCATAAACTCGTGTATAGAGGTGAGATCCATAAACTCGTGTATAGGGTGAAATCCATAAACTCGTGTATAGAGGTGAGATCCATAAACTCGTGTATGAGGTGAAATCCATAAACTCGTGTATAGAGGTGAGATCCATAAACTCGTGTATAGAGGTGAGATTCATAAACTCGTGTATAGAGGTGAGATCCATAAACTCGTGTATAGAGGTGAAATCCATAAACTCGTGTATAGAGGTGAGATCCATAAACTCGTGTATGGAGGTGAGATCCATAAACTCGTGTAAAGAGGTGAAATCCATAAACTCGTGTATAGAGGTGGGAGATCCATAAACTCGTGTATAGAGGTGAGATCCATAAACTCGTGTATAGAGGTGAGATCCATAAACTCGTGTATAGAGGTGAAATCCATAAACTCGTGTATAGAGGTGAGATCCATAAACTCGTGTATAGAGGTGAAATCCATGAACTCGTGTATAGAGGTGAAACCTGTGAACTCGTGTATAGAGGTGAGATCCATAAACTTGTGTATAGAGGTGAGATCCATAAACTCGTGTATAGAGGTGAGATCCATAAACTCGTGTATAGAGGTGAAATCCATAAACTCGTGTATAGAGGTGGAGATCCATAAACTCGTGTATAGAGGTGAAATCCATAAACTCGTGTATAGAGGTGAGATCCATAAACTCGTGTATAGAGGTGAGATCCATAAACTCGTGTATAGAGGTGAGATCCATAAACTCGTGTATGGAGGTGAAATCCATAAACTCGTGTATAGAGGTGAAATCCATAAACTCGTGTATAGAGGTGAGATCCATAAACTCGTGTATAGAGGTGAGATCCATAAACTCGTGTATGGAGGTGAGAAACCCATGAACTCGTGTATAGAGGTGAGATCCATAAACTCGTGTATAGAGGTGAGATCCATAAACTCGTGTATAGAGGTGAGATCCATAAACTCGTGTATAGAGGTGAAACCTGTGAACTCGTGTATAGAGGTGAGATCCATAAACTCGTGTATAGAGTTGAAACCTGTGAACTCGTGTATAGAGGTGAGGGATCCATAAACTCGTGTCTGGGGGGTGAAACCCATGAACACGGATATGGAGGTGAAACCCATGAACACGGATATGGAGGTGAAACCCGTGAACACGGATATGGAGGTGAAACCCGTGAACAAAGGGTATGGAGGTGAAACCCATGAACACGGATATGGAGGTGAAACCCATGAACATGGGTATGGAGGTGAAACCCATGAACATGGATATGGAGGTGAAACCCATGAACATGGGTATGGAGGTGAAACCCATGAACATGGATATGGAGGTGAAACCCATGAACACGGATATGGAGGTGAAACCCATGAACATGGATATGGAGGTGAAACCCATGAACACGGATATGGAGGTGAAACCCATGAACACGGAGATAGAGGTGAAACCCATGAACATGGATATGGAGGTGAAACCCATGAACATGGATATGGAGGTGAAACCCATGAACATGGATATGGAGGTGAAACCCATGAACATGGATATGGAGGTGAAACCCATGAACATGGATATGGAGGTGAAACCCATGAACACGGATATGGAGGTGAAACCCATGAACACGGAGATGGAGGTGAAACCCATGAACACGGAGATGGAGTTGAAACCCATGAACATGGATATGGAGGTGAAACCCATGAACACGGATATGGAGGTGAAACCCATGAACATGGATATGGAGGTGAAACCCATGAACATGGATATGGAGGTGAAACCCATGAACATGGATATGGAGGTGTAACCCATGAACATGGATATGGAGGTGAAACCCATGAACACGGATAGGGAGGTGAAACCCATGAACATGGATATGGAGGTGAAACCCATGAACATGGATATGGAGGTGAAACCCATGAACACGGATATGGAGGTGAAACCTATGAACACGGATATGGAGGTGAAACCCATGAACATGGAGATGGAGTTGAAACCCATGAACACGGATATGGAGGTGAAACCCATGAACATGGATATGGAGGTGAAACCCAAGAACATGGATATGGAGGTGGAACCCATGAACATGGATATGGAGGTGAAACCCATGAACACGGATATGGAGGTGAAACCCATGAACACGGAGAGATAGAGGTGAAACCCAAGAACATGGATATGGAGGTGAAACCCATGAACATGGATATGAAGGTGAAACCCATGAACATGGATATGGAGGTAAAACCCATGAACACTGATAAGGAGGTGAAACCCATGAACATAGATATGGAGGTGAAACCCATGAACACGGATATGGAGGTGTAACCCATGAACATGGATATGGAGGTGAAACCCATGAACATGGATATGGAGGTGAAACCCATGAACACGGATATGGAGGTGAAACCCATGAACATGGATATGGAGGTGAAACCCATGAACACGGATATGGAGGTGAAACCTATGAACACGGATATGGAGGTGAAACCCATGAACATGGATATGGAGTTGAAACCCATGAACACGGATATGGAGGTGAAACCCATGAACATGGACATGGAGGTGAAACCCATGAACATGGATATGGAGGTGGAACCCATGAACAGGGATATGGAGGTGAAACCCATGAAATGGATATGGAGGTGAAACCCATGAACACGGAGATAGAGGTGAAACCCAAGAACATGGATATGGAGGTGAAACCCATGAACATGGATATGGAGGTGAAACCCATGAACATGGATATGGAGGTGAAACCCATGAACACTGATATGGAGGTGAAACCCATGAACATAGATATGGAGGTGAAACCCATGAACACGGATATGGAGGTGAAACCCAAGAACATGGATATGGAGGTGAAACCCATGAACATGGATATGGAGATGAAACCCATGAACATGGATATGGAGGTGAAACCAATGAACATCGATATGGAGGTGTAGAAACCCATGAACATGGATATGGAGGTGAAACCCATGAACACGGATAT